CCGCACGCCGGCGTCGGGAAGGCCGTCACCCACAGGCCGGTCAGCGCGGGCGGCCAGGCCATGTGCTGGAAGAGAGGCAGAGTTAGCGCGGGCTGGGAGGGTGGGGCGCGGCTGCGGGGGCCTGGGCTGGGAGGGCGTCCCGGGGCCCCGGTGCACCCAGCTCCTTCCACAGGGGAAGCCAGGGTGCACGCCTCCTCACGTGCTGGCATGGGCACGCATGCTCTTGTGTGTGAGTGTGTGTGCACACACGAACACACATCAACCTGCATATACACGTGTGGAGCTGTGCATGCGCGGTGTACATGTGTGTATTCACATGTGTGCATTAATGTGCACTCCTTTGTGCATGCATTCATGAATATTCACATGTGTGGCTGCCCTGTGCATGTATACATACACACGTGCATATTTCTGTCTGTGTGCACTGCGTCTGTACAGGAATGCATGTCCATGTGTGCATTCACACCTCACACACACACACGTGTGGTGTGTGCACATGCATACACATGCATGTGCACAGGTGTCCATGTGTTTGTGTGCCTTCCGTGGGCACATGTATGTGGGTATATGCATGCATTGTGCATTTAAGTGTCCCATGTGTGATTGTGTGTGTGTGCCCACATGATTGTGTGTGTGTGCATGTGCATGCGTGTGCCTGTGTGCCTGTGCCTTGCATGTGTGACTGCACGTGGTGGTGCCTGTGGGTCTGCCAGGCAGGTGGAAAGAACCCCCGGGGTGTGGCGGTCCCCGGCTCCCGCTCTGTCTGGAAGCCAGGAAGGCCCACGCCCGCCGGCACCAGGACGCAGGGGATTTCACATCAGTGGAAGGAAGCTTCATTAAAGCGTGTGATCAGTCGACACGGAGGGAACTTCCCACTCGGAAGGAGCAGTAACCGCGTTACGGTAACTGGGCGTGGCGTGACTGCAGCGTCCACCCTCCCGTGGCCCCTCGGGGCTGGTGGCTGCGTGGACGGTCCACATCCAGTCCTCCCTCCACTTTGATGTTTGTTTGTGTGAACGGCCGGAGAGATTCACCCAGGGCGCTCAGTGGGAAGGGGAACCAAGAAGGGGCCGCAGCATGCCCACACCCTCTAGGGAGAACTCTGTCCTCTCTCTCTCTCTGTCTCTCCAGGCCCCGTGTCCTCTGACACAGAGACAAACGTATCATTCCACAGTGTGAGCACACCCGCCGTGCTGGGCAACGAACACCTCCGTGTCCCCAAACTCTCCCAGCCCCCGAGTGCAGCCCAGCACTCAGTCACTAGTCTCTCTCATTCCCCAGCCGCCGGACCCCAGAAGCCACCATACCCCTTCTGCCTCTGCAACTCTGCGTGTTCTGCTCATTTCAGATAAACAGAACCGCATGCTGTGTCCACTGCATCTGGCCCCACTCCCTGACCATCAGGCGTTCAAGGCTCATTCACGTCGCACCCTGTGCCAGGGCGCCGTTCCTTTTCATGGCTGAGTACTATTCCACTACGTGGATGTACCACAGTCTGTTTCCCCATTTGTCGGCTGTCGGACATGGACTGTGTCCTCGTGTTGGTTACTGGGTACAATGCAGCGTGTGGTGCTCTAACCACCTGCCCGGGACAGTGGGAGTCTCCATAGCCTTTTTTTTTTTTTTTTTTTTTAGAGGTTTTCAATTTAGGGCGCGGGCGTTCAAAAAATGTTCCCCTCACTTTTTTTTTTTTTTTTTTTTTGAGAGGTTTTCAATATAGGGCGCGTGCGCTCAGCAGACAGACAGAGAGAGACAGAGAGACAGAAAGCAAGAAATCACCCCCCACGGGGGATGGCCATGCCGCAATCCCTTCTCCTCCATTCTCCTCTCGGGATCTTGGGCACGCACGCACACGCGCCTGGCGTAAGTTTTAATCCACCGGGTCCAGGACGCGAACCGCAGTCGACTACGTGGGAGTCCAGTGACATAGCCATTATGCTAACTGCTGGTTCCCTCCATAGCCTTTGAGATACACTGGTGACCTCTATGATGAGGCCAGGGTTCCAGCCTCACAGTGGCTCCTGGGCCCTGACTCTCACGCAGCCTGGACAAGCACTAATAGGACTGGGGCACATGTCTGTGTTTACGTTTTGTAGGAGCTGTGTGTGACAAGTGAAGAGGGCCCCACTGTGGGTGCAGTGGCTTCTATTTCTGTCTCTGTCACTCCAGTGAACACGCGCACCCTATTGCAAACATAGCTGAAAAAGAAGAAGAGGAAGAGGAAGAAGAAAAGAAGAAGAAGAAAAGAGGAAGAAGAAAAGAAGTGAAGAAGCGGAAGAAGAAAGAAAGAGGAAGAAAAAGAAAAGAAGAAGAAGAAAAGAGGAAATAAGAAAAGGAGGAGAAGAAAAGAAGAATGAACACAAAGAAGGAGAAGAAAAGGAGGAGAAGAAAAGAAGGAGGAAGAGAAGAAAAGAAGAAGAAGAAAAGAAGGAGGAGAAGCAAAGAAGGAGGAGAAGAAAAGAAGGAGGAGAAGAAGAGAAGAAGGAGAAGAAAAGAAGGAGAAGAAGGAGGAGGAGAAGGAGAAGGAGGAGAAGAAGGAGGAGAAGAAGGAGAAGAAGGAGGAGAAGAAGAAGGAGAAGAAGAAGGAGAAGAAGAAGGAGAAGAAGAAGAAGAAGAAGAAGGATGAAAGAAACTCTTCCTCATTAAAAAAAATAAAAAAGAAGAATGAAATGAAAAAAAGAAGTTCTTCCTCACCATTTGGGCGTAACTCTCTAAAGTTTTCCTGTCTGACTGAAATTTTCCTATTCACTGCTGCAGCAGAAAGATGCAAAATCAGTTTTGGGAAAGCTGCTGGAGACCATTTGGCTTCCTTAGAACAGGCTGAGCTGGGTTGAAGTGCCTCCTTCTCCAGCCTCAAAAGGACTTTGTGGTTGGCTTTATCCTGTGCTTCTAAGGAAGAGAAAACGAGTATCCTCCCTGGCATTTGGGGGACTCCATGTTTCAGCTCCTTGGGTGAGAGCAGCAGTCTTTCTGGGACAGAGTACTTTGGCGCAAGCTGCTTCTGTGAACCTAAGGCCCTCAGATCCTGACCTGCCCTTGGGACTGGGTTGCTCGTGCAGCCCCTGGCAAGTAAGTGCCAGTGTCTGGATATGTCTGCCAGGAAAAAACAGAATCAGCCAACCCGAAGGACTTAAAACCTAAAGGGAAGGGGAACCAGCAGTTAGCGTAATGGCTATGTCGCTGGACTCCCACGTAGTCGACCGCAGTTCGCGTCCTGGACCCAGTGGCTTAAAACTCACGCCGGGCGCGTGTGCGTGCGTGCCCAAGATCCCAAGAGGAGAATGGAGGAGAGGGGATTGTGGTGTGACCATCCCCCCTGGGGGGTGATTTCTTGCTTTCTGTCTCTATGTCTGTCTCTGTCTGTCTGGTGAGCGCATGCACCCTATTGCGAAAATCTCTCCAAAAAAAAAAAAAAAAAAAAAAAACATAAAGGGAAAAAATGAGACTGCTCTCACACC